CAGTATCTGCCCACGGGCCTGGACTTAGCCCTTAAGGAAACCCCAAACACCAAACCCTAAACCCTCAATGCCCAAACCCAAAGACCCTAAACCCCCAAACCCGAGCCCCCTGAAACCCGAACCCAAACACCCTAGACAGACCCTAAACCCCGAACCCCCGAACCCCTGAACCCTAAACTCCTAACCCCTAAACCCCACACCCCGAAGCCCTAAACCCCGAACCCCTAAACCCCAAAGGCCCCAAACCCCAAAGATCCTAAACCCCAAAAGGACACCCAGAAAATGGCACCTTCTTGGCGACTCGATCCTGCTCCTCGCACCCCAAACCTTAGTGTTTAGGGTCTTAACTAGCCAGTGGTTTTGGGGTTCCCTGGGCTCTTTGGCTCCGTATTCAATAGGGATTATCATCATCCCTGGCTCCTTAGCTCCTCCAATATCAAAGGTTAGTTAAGGTCTAGGGTTTTAGGGTTTGAGGGTTTAAGGGTTTGGGGTTTAGGGTTTAGGGTTTACGGTCTTAGCAGGAGCTTCTGGAGAGTGTTTCTTCCCTCTTCTTTTTGGCGTCATTTTTGTTCGTTTGGGCTCTTAAGTCAAAGGGGAAAAGGAGGGACCCTTAAGGGGGACCCCTACCCTATAATGGGCTATATAATGGGTATATAATGGGTGTATAATAGCTATATTAAGGGTATATACCTAGGGGTCCTTATTAAGGGCCCCTCCTTTTACCCTTGGATTAAGGGTTGTGCGTTCATCTGTGTTTGTGTGCCTTTCGGGTACAAGGGGCCGGGGGGTCTGAGAGGGATTGGGGGCATACAAATCCCTTAGCCCTAAACCCTTGAACCCTTTACCGCCAAATACTAAACCCTTAACCCCTACACCACAAACTATAACCCCTAAACCCGAAACCCCTAACCCCTAAACCGATAAACCCCTGGACCCTAAACCCATAAACCCCTAAACCTTAAACCCAGACCTCTAAACCCTAAACCTCTCTAACCGAAACCCGGTTTCCCCTTCCCCTTTCTCAGCTCTTGGCGGGATCCTGGCACGGGAAGAGGCACGCTGTAACCTGAGGATTTGGGAGAAGAACTTGGCGATAGCCCTCAGGTTTAGGGTTCAGGGCTTCCCTAAGTGCCGATTACCTTATGGGCTTCTTATCACTACTCATATGGCTTGAAGTATAATATACTTCAAAACCCACAACCCTTTGTTTGAGTAACCGGAGCAATAGTGTCCCATGCTGTTGAGTTTGCGGCCTCGGAGGCTTCGCGAAGAGGCGAATCTCTGCCAGGTAAGAGTTTCCGAAAATTAGGGGGTACCTTATTTTGGGTCCTTAGAATGAGGATCCTACTATTTAGGGTACTATTTTAGGGTCCCCTATTTTCGGAAACCCCCATGTCTTGAGGACTCTGAGCGAGTGGAGGCCTGCAGAATTGGGTTTTGGCGCGGTCCTGGCCATGTCTGCAAACCTTGTCTGCATCTATACCACCCTTAGAACCATAATGAACATAGCATTTTTAATATTCTCTTAGGTTTTATATGAACCAAAATGAAACAAAATATCCTAAGGAGACTATAGGCATCTGGCTATAGTCGGACAGAGTCCCGCAATCAGCTTACACTCGAAGCTGCAAACTGCGTACATGCCTGTGTGAAACGAGCTGTGCGGCTGGTGGGTGCTTCTTACTATCACTTGCCGGACAAAGAACCCTCAACCCTCGACCCCAAACCCCTAAACCCATACGCCCTAGGAACAATGCAAGGGGCTCAGCAATGCTCGGCACCATCCCTCCTGCAATCGGGAGTCGGCACCCCAAAGTCAGGAAGTCTTCACTCATATTCCGGAGTCGTAGGGTTCAGTTCAGAGAGACGCTACTCGGGTTTACTCTGTTTGGTCTGGGGATCAGGGGTTCCTGGTTTGGGGTTGAAGATTCCTGGTTGTGGTTTACTTGGAGGTTCATGGGTAGTTACTTTTGGGGTTATAAGTAGGGTAACTATACTTCTAACTTATAACTCCTATTAGGGGACTTATAACTCTACTTATAACTACCCATGAACCTCCAAGTAGAGATGGTTTACGGCTTTTGGCTTGCGGTTCAGGGTTTTTGCTTTCAGAACGGGCTCGACAGACTTGGCCTTGTCCTTACTTGATGGTGCGTCGTAATTGCAAGAGGGAAGAAGAGGCTCAACTAAGCTCGAGAACGCGAGAAGTATCTCAAATCTGTTGAGTACGTAGACTAGACTGCAGTCTAGTGCTGCAAAGTACTGGATGTTACATATCGCTATTTAATACTATGCCCTGCTATGTTGTGTTACGTTATACCCCTGAAACTAAACACTTTACCACATTCCCTAAACCATATTCTAACACGTGGCTTCGGAGCAAATGAACTCGGCCTGTAAACTGCCAGTTGCCTTACACAACCCCCAAATCTCTAGTTCCAACCTTTAGGGTTTCAGAGTCTAGGGTTTTGGGATGTAGGGATTCAGGGTGTGAGGGCTTTGAGGTTTAGGGTTTGAGGGTTTAGGGCTTTAGGGTTGCCGACACCCATATCGATACTGAGGCCTGTTGTTCAACGGCAGGCTTACAAACATGGTTCGAGATTGGCACCTTTGATGGGCCAAGCATTCCCATCGTCAAGAGTCTTGAGACAGATCATACAGAAGTCGGAATCCTAAGTATTTATATGATGTCCGTGTTCATGCAGCTGAAGTCACACTAGCCCGCCACTGTCCTCGTCTTCCTCCACCTGCAAGGCAGGCTCCTCCGGATAGGTGAGCGGGGCAGGCGTCCTTGGCACACGATAACTAACCAGTGGTTTTGGGGGTTCGCTTGGCTCTGTAGCTCCTTATTTAATAAGGATTATCATCATCCTTGGCTCCTTAGCTCCCCCAATATCAATGGTTAGATAAACCGGGTCAACGCTTTCTGTCAGACATGGCGATACCGCTAAACACGACCAGACACAGAATGAGGGGTCAGGCTTTAAGGTTTCGGATTCGGAGCTTAATTCCAATCGACAATCTGGGAGAGATCGAGTGCATGTAGCAGTGATTTCTTCATCACCAAGGTAAGACCCGATAAAAGCTTTGAAATGTCAAGACGACTAGAACCTGAAGCCTGCGCCCGCCCTCAAAGCCAAACCACAAAACAAGATCCCCAGGCAAAGCATCTAGGTCCCACAGACCCTCATCTACATCATCGCCGTGGTGACGTTACAGCACAGAATTGACAGGACAGCGGCGAAGAGATGCTACGCTCTCTTCTCATACTTGAAGGGTCATGGGACTTAGTAACTCGGGTTATAATTGGGGTAACTGTACTTACAACTCCTTATAACCCCAATTAACTTATAGCCCTACTTACTACGTCCCATGATCCTCCACGTAGGATGTCATGAACTGATACAGAAAAACACATGCGGAATGGCTAGCGACAGTAGCAGTGTACCAGCGAGATGTCATGGACCAAGATATGGCAAGACTCAGCAATAAACGCCGCAAATGACAAACGAAACCGACGATAACCCAATGATGTGAGGAGAAGTAGCATTCAAACGAAGCAGCCATCCTGGACAACTCAAACTCCGACTACTCTTGCACACACCCGGGCACCCCGGCGGCCCTGTCTTTCCAAGGGCCTGGGAACAGCCACAACTTTTCCTATACCCCCCTTAGAACCATGATAAAACATAGTATGTTAAATATTCTCTTGGGTTTTATATGAACAAAAATCAAAAATAATTCCTAAGGAGACTCTAGTTTCAGCGTTTGGTGTTTACGCCTTGGAAAGCTTCGTGCTTTGGGCCTTTCGGGTTAATATGGGAGTTTCCGAACACAGGGGTGTACCTGTTTCGGGGGTCCTGATAATAAGGATCCTACTATTTAGGGTACCATATTAGGGTCCCTATTTTCGGAACCCCCCCCCAAATGGGGCGTTGGACCTGTACGGGTCGAAAGGAAGACAGGGCCCTACGGCCCCGCCGTTGAATTTTCACATTCCGGAATTCAGCAATGTCTGCATCCAGTCATCGGGTTAGTAGACCGGGTGGGCCCACAAAAGGGCTGACCTACAAGGCCCTACAACGCAGCAAAAACTCCTCTCCCACGGCTTCGGAAAGTACCAGTGCGCCTGGATGTGACTTCTGCGAGAAAACCGTTGCTCCTAAACCCTAGCCCAAGTCAGCCCATCAAGAGCAAGCATGCAGTGACTCATGCACTCCACAAGGGCTTTAAACTTTAGAGTTAGGGGGTCAGGGTAGCCAGAATCCCTAACCGTGAGGACTTTTCATCATCATGAGGAGCTGGATCAGTGCAGCCGTCTGTGCGCGGCTCTGAGAATTATTGCAGAGAAGCAATTGACCTTGATGCAGCATTGTGCTGCTGTTTACTCTTCAAGATGGCTTCCTTTCCGGCACCTGTTACTCAAAGCCAGTGAATATAATTGAGCTGTGGAGCCAGTGACAATAAGACGTCCTGAGTCTCTTGTAAGTAGAAGTCAAGCGGAAAGCGGAAGCACAATGTCCGGTATCCCTCCGAAACATGCGCACATACTTTGCAAAACTTCGGTTGAACATCGACCAGTTATTGGTCATGATTGCCCATGAAGCCATGGGTGTGTAAGGCAAATGCCGGCTGAGTCTTAATACTGAGCACAACTGAACAAGAACACCAACAGCAGTGCTCCGTTGAGACGTGGGCATGTACATTTTATGTACAGGGCACGGCAATGTGGGGTTTCCAAAGCTCCGAAATTTCATGTGCACTCATGGTATGCTGTGCTTGCTCCCAGAGAGCCCAATACCCCTTAATTAAGGAATATGGCTTAAGTTATATAGGGCTTGATATTATGATTTAAGCTATATTCCTTAATTAAGGGGTATTGGGCTCTCTGGGCTGGTGACGGCCCCCATACAGTAAGTGTCTATAATCGGGCTACTATTAAGGTCCTACTATACCTATACTATGAATATTATTCAACTACTACTGAGTGGGGGCCGTACCTAAGGTATGCTGTGCTTGCTGGTGCTTACTGTCAGCCTTGGGCCGGCACCAACATATCCGTAAAGCAACCAAGCTGAAGGCAGCACAAACGCGGCAAACAAGAGCATGTTGTCCGTCTGTCCATCATGAAAGAGAGTGGGCACAAAGCAGAGCTGCTCAAGCACAATCGCCACAAAGATGACGAACACGACGGCAAAGAGCGGCAGCAAGTTGATCAAAGGGTCGCATCGCGCCCAGCTACACTTCCGCTGGAAGCGACAAGCGAGCCGACACTGGATCAGAAAGGCCACAGGACCGACCCCCAACCACCAAGCCAGTCCTCTTGCGATCTGACAGGATGCCTGCAACCATGGATCCCACTCGGTGAAGCGAGCATATGCTGAAGCGCTGTCCAGGTAGCTCCAAAGAAGTGGGACGAGAGCAATCACAACTTGCGAGTACGTGAAGGGTTGCCTGGACTGCTCGTGAACAAACGTGTCCATGATCTCCGTTTGCACGCGAGATTCGAAATTTTCCAGGTTGCCGAACCACTGACAGATGCACTTGAGTACAACCTCTCGGTCACAGAGTCCACCACCGCAAACATGCCCGGTGTCACAACAGGTGCATCTGACATCTGCAAGACGCCAAGATGCCAGTTGCTCCTGGCTATCACTTACTGATCGAAAGTACTCCCTGAAAGTGGTCGTGTTAACGGACAGCCCGCAGAAGCAAATCAAGAATTGAAGTGCCCACAGCACGAAGTGGCTGCTGCCTGTCCAGCAGCTAAGAAGGTGCACACTGACATTGTCAGCAACGGTGAGAACGAGAATCACCGTCAGCATCAGCAAGAGGTAGCAGGGGCCCAAGATCGTGGGCCTCAAAACGACTTTTGGCATCTCGCCCTCTTCCCGGCTCCTCAAGAAGGCAGCTACCTCAAACATTGTCCACAAGCGATCGCTGTACGTGGCATCCCAAAGAATCAGCATGGAGCGTGAAGCCTTTAGGAATGCACCGATGCTCATTAATCCTTTTCCCTTGCGTTTGGGATTGACTTGGTCTATGCAGATCACATCAAAGAAGATGGAATCAACCGGTCTCCAGAACAACAGCATCAAGATGTACAGGATCATGCCGACAAGGGCTGCCCAGAAAGACTGCCAATGCGAATAAGGCAGATCTTCCGTGAAGTTGGTCGGTCCATGAAGGACGGGCAACAGCTCTGACGCAAAAAGGACGGATGCAACAGCCGAGCCAAGACATGCGATGACTGCCGCAGCTGGGCCGTTGTAGAAGAGCAGGAGAGTCATGTACTTTCGCCAAGTTGACCCATGCCAACTGTGACTCCAAAACATGCTGATCATCATCTTCTTGGTCTGGTAGCTCAACCTCACTTGCCACTTTTCCTATGGGAAGCAGATGTTAACCTGTTTATTGTAAAGATGGGGTCGCGAACCTAAAACGGGTAAAGATACCGAAACCTTCACCTAAGGAACCCATGAAGTTTCTTGGACCCGCGCAGGGCTTTGCCGAAGCCTCGGAAAACATCGCCGGCTCGTGTAGCCCGCAGCACGTCTGGAGAGGCTGGCACCATCCGACCGACGATTCGAGCGATGAGGTCTTCAGCAAGAGCAGGAACAGCGTTGGCTGTTTGCTCTGGCATAGGAGAGATCTGCCGAGCGACGCTCACTCCAATGACATCTTCCTCGGGAGCATGGGCCGGAAGCTGTGCTGGCTCCATAGCTGACACAGCCCTGAGTCAGAGCGGAAGCCTGTTCCTAGTCTCGAGCGCAGAAACAGCCTCCGTGCCAAATTTTGATCACCGTGATACTGGCTTGGACTTTCAAGCAGGTGACATGCGATTCGGGATGCCGACATGTCGGTCAGCTTGTGAGTAAGCATCGATTGGTTCTGACTTTGTTGATGCGGGAGCGGTTCTGTGTTGATTAATTACGGTGCCCACTGATGTGGAACTAGAACTAGCGACCTTTACTAACTCGCCTAAGGGTTGGCAAGTTCAAGGTCTTTACGAAATGAGGATAACACAGCCGAAACCACAACTGCCTTGCCGCGCTCGTAGTTGTCGATGGCGCTGACAGTCGGTGAAAAATAGCTCACCTGCCACACTCTGGAGTTTGGAACGGTTCAGATTCTGAACTTCAGAAGGGTTGTTGATTCAGGGTGTAGGGTTGAGAGTTTAGGATTGTGAAAAGCCGGTAATACCTGTAAGCCCTATAAACCCGATGCGCCCTAAGCCCTGAACTTCAGAAAGCCTTGAAACCTGAACCCTAGGCCTTCCACCCTAAACGAATCTTAACCCCTAAACCCTATAAACCTGAAACCCTCAATGAACCTTATAAGCTGTAAACCCTAAAGTGGTGGTTAAACCGTTAAACCGTTAAACCCCAAAACCTTAAACCCCTAAAGTGGTGGTAGAAGTTTTTAATCCCTAAACCTTGAACCCCTAAAGTGATGGTAAAAGTCCTTAAGCCCCTAAAGACCCCCTAAAGACCCTCAACCTCACAAGCAATGCCAAGGAAGGCGCGGCCGTGCCTTCGATCCGCCGGAACGCCAGTCAGAGACCTTCCTGAAGTCATAAGGGGCCCTTTAGGGGGGATAGGTTTAGGGTTCAGGGTTCAGGGTTTAGGGTGGGGAGGGGGGTAGGGGACGATACTTCCTTAAATAGGCCTTATTAAATCCTTGTTATAGGTATTAAGGCCCCTGCCCCCTACCCTACATAGGGACGGCGAAGGAGTACTATTGTTTCGTGAGTCAGACCTCCATAGTATGTGGCGGCCTAGCCTGCCTGGGCTTTACAACACCAGTCGGCCAACATTCCAAATTCAAGCCAGCAGTCCAACTTGGAAGCCACAGCTGTTCACATCATGCTGCGGGCGACATGGACACGGCAACGGCGGCGACGATACTGTGACGACAGCGGCCTATCACAACTGCTGTTAGTTATTGTTCAGGGCCCTACAAAGCCGAAACCCTCCTGAAGTGGAACGCGTTGACCTATCCTGAGATCCAACTCGCTGCGCTCTCCGAAGTCGAGAACTCCCAAACCTACGCTATCCTGAACTCAATGCGCCTAGAATCCAATTTAAGGCGTCAATAAATAGAACAGTATTCCTTAAGGACAAGCCCCAATACGCCATTCTCTAATCCTTGATAACACTGTCCTGAACTCTAAACACGCAAAAACCCTACCCCACACTATCCTCATCCGCCCTATACTGCCCCCAGGCTCCCCAGTAGCCCGTTAATAATTAAGGGTACCCTCTTTCTTACTGTATGGTTCTTATTCAGAGAATCCAAAAACAAAGGCAAGGGTATTCCTGGGGAACCTAGACCTCGAACTCTAGCAGATAAGGGAGTTTCCGAAAATTCGGGGTACCTTATTTAGGTGGATCCTTATAATAAGGATCCTACTAATCAGGGTACCATAATACGGTCCCCTAATTTCGGAAACTCCCGAATCTCAACCCCAGCTCTGAAACCGCTAACTCTCCATCACACAAACGCTCGATGAATCCCAAAGCTAGGATGCCCAGTAACCTAGGAATAGAACGGGCTCCCTTTTTGGTATTGGGTAACTTTATATTCAAGCTAGGGCTACAAAAAGGGAATAAGGGTACTACTGGGCATCCTACTAAAGGGTCCTTGGTATTGTTAGGGGGGCATTCCCTCGCAAGGCATAAGAGTGACTCCAACTATAGAAACCCTACATTCTACTACACTGTAAGTACTTAGGACGCTTTGCTTTGGAAAAGGTCGTGATTAGTGAGCAGTGACGCCCAGCTATCAAACCTGACACAAAAACAAACTGCTACCATCAAGCCACTCCAAATCTTATATAAGCGTAAACCCATGGGCTCGCCCATGCAAGCCCTACACCCTCAAGCCAAGTTTCTGTCTGGACTTGAGATTGGTAGGCGTTTGCTTTCGCCCAGGGCCATCGCCCACGAGGCGGGCGCCGGGGTTCAGCGCAATCTTCCTTCCCATGACTCACTGGCTCAAAACACAAAGGAATAAAGTTTGAAACTTTCAGAATCGACTACCTTATCAGAACCCCAACAGTTGAAAAGTTGAGTTTACAGCCAATAAGATGAGAGTTGAGGGTTCGGGCCTTAGGGCTGAAGGGTTTAAGGCTGGCGGTTTAGGGGTTGAGTGTTTAGGAACCTCGGTGGTTGCCGGCACAAGGGTTGTGGGTTTGCTCTTTCAACGCACGACTCTTCTTTTGCTGAGGTCCTCTTTCCGACTTGTTGGCTTGGGGTTTAAAGGATTCTTGGGTTAAGGCTATATGGGTTCGATAAAACTTGGACAAGAGGCCTCTGCGAGTGCAGACAGTGCGAAGGGTTTCTCATATGGGAGTTTCCGAAATTAGGGGACCCTATTATGGTACCCTAACTAGTAGGGTCCTTACTATAAGGACCCCAAAAAACAAGGTACCCCTATTTTATGGGAGTTTCCGAAAATAGGGGACCTTAATATAGCACCCTAAATGATAGGATCCTTATTATAAGGACCCCCAAAAAATGAGGCACCCCTATTTCCAGAAACTCTAAACCCTAAACCCCTTATAGAAACCTTATAGATCCCTTTAAAAGAACCCTAAAGGATCCTTTTAAAGGACCCCTAATTTTCGGAAACTCCCATATAGCGGCCTTACCAGGTCAAATGAACTGGCATCTTTGATTTTGAGTTGCCGCAGGATCGGGTGGAGGTTGGCGGGGCGTTGAGAAGCAAAAGCAGTATAGGGGCCTTAATAATTAGAATAGGGCTTGGGGCCCATTATCCTATACTTGTCATAAGGAACGCCCAAAAAAGTTATAGGTAGTTTTGAAGGCTCCTATAGTAAAGGCTCTGGGGTTTGGGCGCAGCTTTCACCACTAGGAAACCCTAAACCCTAAACCTCTCTGAACCCTAAACCCTAAAACCCAAAACCCAAAACCCTAAAACGCAAAAAACTAAAGCCTCAAACCTAAAACCCTAAACCCTGAAACCACAAAAAAACCCTCTGAACCCCAACCTCCCCCCCCCCCACCCGCCCCGCCTGAATTGTTGAAGCGTCATCCCCGACGATTGCCAGAAGTCCCGGATCGCGCGCCCGCACTCCGCGAGGAGCCCGAGAGCCTCCCCAGAGAGCCCAAGGGGCCCCTTAATTAAGGAATATACCTCGGGTTCCTGTAAAAAGGGGCCTAAAAGGGATCTATCTATAAGGGATCTATATAGGGATTAGGGTTTCCGATACCCCGTAATTAAGGAATATGGCTTAGATTATATAGGGCTTCATATTATGATTTAAGCTAGGTTCCTTTATTAAGGGGTATTGGGCTCTCTGGGTCTCGGGAGCTAGGGTCGATGCGGTTTACTTGGAGGATCATGGGTCTTCGTAACTAAGGTTTAGGGTTCCTTTTAACAAGGGTACTTTAGGGTTCTGTAATAGGGTTCCTTAAAGTCATAGGGATCCTTAGGGGTGTAGGGGGAGGGGGGGTAGGGGGCCTTAAGGCCCATAATATAAGGACTAATAAGGCCTGTTTAAGGAAATATGGTCCCCTACACCCCTCCCCCCTACACCCCTAAGGATCCCTATGATAAAGGGATCTATAGGGGTTCTAAACTGGGGAGCATGGGTCTTCGTAAGTAACTAAAGTTATAAGTTTCCGATGGTTTCCGATGGTTTCCCGGGCCCACACCGTGGGAGTAAAACAACCTTCCAAATGTTGGGTGGAAGCATGCAAGCAGCAGGCCCCGTTCCTCAACAATCTGGGCAACCCAAACCATGCGAAGTCCCAAGGAGCAGGTGCAGGACACGACTCGTCTTCTTTTGCGGTCACGGGAGTAGCGTCTTCAGTGGACGAGCGCGCTCTCGCCAGTACTTGAAAGCAAACTTCTGGATCTCTTGTGCTAGGGCCACAACTTCTTCGAATCCTTGTTGTCCAGGTTGCAAGCAAAGGATACGTGAAATTGATCCTTCTTCTGAACCCACAAGCGAGACCAGGGCCCCACGAACTTCTGCGAACTTCTCGCACGACAACAGCACGTGGGCCAACGGGCCTCGAACAGTCCTTCCGCAAGCAATGCACGAAGCCACCCGCGCCCTAGAAAAAGAACCCCTCAAGTGCCCCAACGGAAAGAGGTTCAACCTGAGACGGCACAAGGCTCTGCTGGCAAGCAGACTGTTCCATGATGAAGGTTGCTTCACAATTGAAGTGAGCATGCTGGATGGGGTCAATTCCGGGTAAATGATACGCCAAGACAAAAAACAAGAAGAAGACTGAACCAAACTCTGCAGCTTGGCTAAGCACTTAGCCGCAAGCGTCTGCTTTACATACCGCTTATACTCTGGGATCCCAAGGCTCATGTCGCCGTCAGAAAACTGGGCAATACCCCAGTCATGGAGTAATTGAAGACTTCTCGTGCTCCAGCAGGCTGCCGTCGATTTCGCGGTCGTTTCAAAGACTCTGCGGTACAAGTCATCAGCTGGCCAGCATTGTATTCGCGCGCGCTTTACAGCAACATCGAAAACTGCACGAGCCATGCCTGAAAGTGGCCAACCAAGTTCCCAGACGACTGCATGGGCAGGTAACCAAGCCGGAACGCCTAGTAAGATCTTTGCCCAGCGATCATACACGTCATCAAGGATTCTTGTTGCTTCCGGGACCAGCACTGCATATATCCAACGACCTGGCCTCATGCAGGCATCCACTTTCCCTTCGAAAATGTTCAGAGCGAAAG